GAGGCAAAAAGGATTAGTACAATTGTGTCTTCAACACTCAAGAGAAAACCTCCAAAATGCATCGAACAAGATGGTGGGGTAGGGACGAGGTGCAGTAAAGCAGTGCGATCAGTACGGGTCAAGCTCTGCCGCGAACGTTTAATGCATAAAAAAGTAATTTTAATAAAAAGTAATTTTATGACCCTTCCTTTTCCAACCCCTCTCCAGAAACCCTAATTACGACCGTACGACCAAGCGCCAGTAATTGCCACCACAACTGATGCTGACACTAAGATAAGTGCTTCTGACGCATTCGGGAGAATCTCTTCGTACATCACCACGTGTTGTGCATGAGTTGACTCTTTCTCCAAAATTCCTCCAAGTATATTTTTGAACTATGATTGCTCTCTCTTTCTTTGGCTTCCTCGTGTTGATCATTCCCTGCTTCTCATGCTGTCAAAAGCCTCCGATAAATGAACGATATGTCACATTCCAGTTTTTTTACCGCAATAAGTTGTCCTTTGTTTTTGTTTTTTTTTTACTTCACCAATTTACAACCTAAGGCAATGCGGGATATTCATGCGGAAGGGAGCTTCGCGTTCTATAAGCACACCGTCACCTTCATCATACGATATGCTTTAACCAATCTTTGAATATTTGAACTGCACGGAGAATGTGAACTGCGAAAATAGCCTTTTCGACGTTCTATTCGATATGTGAACGAAAGCAGCTCGGAATATTAGCGCCCTTCACCAAGTGGGGCCAAAGTGTGGAGGAATGATCGAAATTAACTGCCAAGCTTCAAATTGGCACATTTGACGCTAGAGCACACCTTGTTTTCTGAATCATTCGTTGAACGCACGTGAGAACGTGATATCATTTCACAAGGCGGAAGGGTAGCTCCAAAGAAAATTTTGCACAGAGCGCACGTAGCCTGATTTTTTCGTTGATAAGCGTTAAACTATAAAATATTCTCTGAATTCGCTTCCATCGCTAGCAGCAAGCCTTTCCTCCATTGTCCCTTATGGAGATGAATATGACCCTTATTTTGTATTTTCATATTTATTACAGGCCCGGAATCGAACATGTGATAGAAACATCAGAACCAACGCAAAAACTTCTTAGTACTTGATACACTAGTAGTGTATATCGAAAGAAACCTTAAAAAGCGATAAAAAAGAAGATAAATATAAAACAGATATTAGTAACAAGGAAATCCACGTGACTACTACTATAATCCTAGTTATGATTGACATACTGGGAAGCTTCTCGTTTCATAGTGGACAGTTTGACTTAACAACAAGCAATTTTGCTAAGCTTAACATACTGTAAGCAGTGGGAAGAAGTGTCTTGCCCACGTGAGTCCTGACCGAGCAAAGATATTTGAGTAGTATAGTCTTCCGATGTCGCCTGCGTAGACGGCTGTTATGAAGGGGTTCTATAATTTGAAATACACTTCTCTACTTCTGTCAAAAGCATCGGTTGAGCGTTTGCTAAGGTGACTGCCGTTTCCCTTTTGACTGTGGCGAAAGGAAAACTCTTTTATTGCATTCCCCCTGGTACAACCTACAAAGGGTTAGATGGCGATGATTTGAAAATGAATCCTAAGGAGGAAGACTCCAAACATGTAGTCTTGAGAAGAAAAGGTCCATTGCAGTGGAAAGACAGTCTCGCGTTCCTTTCACTTGGTTCTATTCAGAACCGTATCGCTTTACAAACTCGTCAGGCAGAGCGGATGTGGATCTTATGCACAGGTCAAGGGCTGAGCAAAATGAGGTTAACTAAAGGCTGGTGGTGGTATTAGCTTAGCAGAGTTTCGCGAAGGTGAGCTACAAACAGAATGCAGGTCAGTCAAGAACTATCCACCATTTTTATCACTTTAAAGCGTGGTGGAACGCAACCGTTCCCATAGAACTGAAATCATTGCGTTGGCATGCTTTTGCAGTTGGTCTTCAGTGGACACAACAGGGGGAAATTTATTTTTTCCTAACAAGATAGGAATCTTGCGAATGTGGGAACTAGTCTGACGGCGATTTCGCTTTTCTGCTCTCACACGATTTTCTCTTCAAAAAATTCGCTTCATCGAACAGAGGAAGATTCAGTTTGAGGAACAGATTTTTACGCTGTTACATATTCAAAATGTGGTTTCGCATTGACAAAATAATTGTTAGGTTTCCGTACACTGATGCAGCACATCGATCTCGCTGTTTTCTCGCGCATTATGCTCACTTTGTCACGGTGAGCTCTCCTGTTGTTGTTTGATACCGTTCGTGAGACCTTTTGATCGATAGTGGTCTAGAGTAGGCTAGCTGACGGGAGCAGAACTCGAGAATTCCAGAAAGCATGGTATCCGACATTAGGCTCGTCGCGCGGCGAGAAGGTAGGGACGCAGATGGGTTGGCGCGCGTGCTGTATGATGGGGACGTACTATAGATCCGATTGCAGCTCTGCCTTCTCGCCTGGCGACGAGCCTCCTGCTCGATACCCCAAAAAGCGCAAGGAGACTTCTAACCCGCAAAAAGCAGGGGTTTTGACACCAGTCCAGGGAATGTGGCATGCTGTGACCTAGTTTGTGAGTTCACCATCAGCAGCTGGACCACAAGCAAGCAGTCCCCGTGCTCCCCCAAAATGGGTATTCTGTTGGCCAAACACTGTTTTGCTTCATTTGAAAGATGCGTTCAATGATACTTAATCATAAAAAGAACCTGCTGACATTCGTAGTTTTCTGATCGGAAGCATTTTGCAAATGTGCAGCACAATGACCATGCAGTTGGCAGATGATGCTTCTAAAGCATCACATCATTTACTAGAGCATAACCCACTCAATCAACAAGAAAACACCTGAAAATAACGCCCTCATATTTAGAACAGAGTAATAGCTATTTATTGTGGTATTTTTCTGCCTGCCAAAATATTGTGTGATTTCATCTAATAACTCAAGTTCTTCTGATCGTGTGGGCGATTACTGCCACTTTCTCCAGTACTTGTTTTTATAAAGGTAATTAAACTCTCAGAAGCACAACAAGGCTCTTCCAGTAATATGCTGTTAGCCAAAATGATTGTAGTTCTAAAATTCAGGACTTGAGGCCAAAAAATCCGCATGATTCGGAGAGTTGGCGCTACTTTTCTAGTGCGTCTTATTATGAGAGTAACGAATAATATTTCTTGAACAAACTTTTTTGTACTGTGGAGGCGAAACTTGTCCAGTGGCGTCGCACTTAAAGGAATCTTGCGCGGAAAATTCTTGCACTCTTTCCTAACATGAATATGTCAGTTGTGATCACTGGAAATAGCACACAAAGTTTCACGCATGAAGATTCGGTTTCTGAAGAGAAACAAACGTACAAAAACTACACGTTATGGACCATCGAAGGACCAGGAGGCAGAGCCAGGCGAGGCATGGAAAGAAGACGGCGTTTGGCCGGCTACGTACCAGGCGACGCAATGAGAGAATCGGGTTAAAGCGCGCGATTTCGGAGAGTGGAGACAAATCGATCGATGGAATAGGATGGAGTAGAAGTGTAAGATGTGAATGCAACGAAGCAGAAGGCCAGAAAGAGCTTCTAGTGAATGCACTCCAAGAACCAAGTTTGAGCATCCCCGTCGCCAGCATTCGTGAAAGACGTCCGTGGGCAATTCGAACGCGTAGCAGCCTTTTCGAGTTTTCGAATTTCTAATCAAAACGAAAGCAATACTTCAGTTCTTTTCACTATTATCGTGGATAATGAGTCTCAAGCCAGTGATTTATGGCTGAAATAGAATCATGATTTTTCCGCGCAAGATTCCTTTAACATTAGGCACGGGCAGAGTGCAAGCCCTGGATTCGTGCACCGTCCAGAACAGCACGGTCCATTCTTTCAGGTCTGCTTTAAATGGTACCAGCTTTTGTTGGTAGGATAAGGATACTGGACTTGTGCAACTGCTGGCCCCGCAACACATTGAAATAAACCAGATTCAGAATGTCTCTGCGACTCTGAATGGAAGTAGAATAAACAGCGATCCCAAGAATGGTCAAAGCCGATGTTCCTCCTTTACCGCTTTTTATTTGTAGCGGTCTGAACAGAATTTTGCAACTCATGGACGTGTGCTACCCAGAAAGTGCATGTGCCCAGCTTTCTCAAAACGGTTTTTGCTTTATAGAGGAGCACGCGCACGGGACATGGAACTATATTCCCATTTTCCTGAGCGGCCCTCTGAACGACAAAGAGTGGATGGAAGATTTGTTCACAGCTCGATCCTCCGTGATGACGAACTTTTGCATTTTCGACCGACGCTTGCCTGATGTCACAAAATAGTGACTACGGATAGTAAAGATTGCTATACTACCATAAGGAGGGCGGAAGTGGTGTAGTGGCAAGTGGCACGCTTACCACGCGAGCGGTCCGGGGATCAAATCCTGGGTCGTGAGTCGCCCGGGCCAACCAAGCCTTCCATCCCTCCGGGGTCGGTTAATTGGTACCAGACTTGTCTGGGAGGATAAAAACACTGACTTGTACATCGGCTGGCCCCCCCCCGCAAGTCATTGTATAGGCCACATCGCATTCAAACGCCACTACGAATGTACAAATGGAAGTAGAATGCGTGCCGCATCCCAAAAAGGGATTGATCAACGGCAAATGCTTTATCCTTTTTACCATTAAGGAACTTCAATGCCATATGAGTAGGTCTTAGCCAAAATGTGATGACAAAAAGCTGTGGCGGGTAAAACGCTTTTTGGTGTTCAAAGAGCCGTCCAGAAAGAGGCTAAACAGTATGCCCCTACATCATGCAGAAAACCGTTTCCAGAAAGCAAACCGTAGCACGAAGTGCAAGGCCTCCCTGGTAAGTCCTTATTAGATTAACAGCAGAGTATTGAAGCATGGAAAATAGGAGGCTTTCCAAATACTTCTGAGAAATTAGCTAGTAAATCATAACTTGACTGCGAGCACCACACAAAAAAGGTAAATCTGCAGACTCATATAGTGTTTTTCCGTCGACCGCTAGCGTGAAGTTTGGTGTTTACTGAGGACCATGGAAGAAAAATGAAGGAAGGTGTGTGATGACCAGAGAGTTTAAGACTTGGTAAGCTTATTTTTTGCTGTCATAAAGGTGAATAATGGCCAATATTGCCCTTGAATGATATAGCTTTTTTCATGAATTCATGCGTTTTGTTCAAAATTGCAGTGTACATCAAAATGGGCGCAGATGGGGCGGCGACGGATGGCTCCACTTACATACACCGACCGAGGGTAAATCATGGATCGAATCTACCACAAATTAACCAAGCCTTCTATGACCGTGGGGCTGGTTGGGAATATTATTAATATAAATTTGTTTTGGGGGGGGGTAATATTTTTGTAATCTCTTCTCAACTTGGCAATCTGTAGTATAGGCAAACTGCATTTATTTGCTACGACTCTCAATAAAATAGTGAACCTAAGCAAACTCTTACAATTTGGAGTGCAGGCCTATAAGTCTGAGAGTGCTCTTTGAAAAGTTCCACTCGTGTTCCATAGATTAAGCAATGATCTTTGTCATTTTAAGTATTTCCTGGAACCTGCAGCACAATTCAAATTACCGAGCAAAATGATGCTCTTCCATGTAGCTCCGCCTACTAGTAGTATTCACTTGGAACTCATTTACGCGGTAAGCAGTCAACTCATAGCTCTTTTTAATGACTATAACTCATAAGCGAGAAAGGCTACGCGTTGTGGCGCTAACAAGCTTAGTTGCTCTATAAGAGCAACTCCTGAATCTCACATTGACTCAATGTTCGTAGCCAAACGACCGGACTAACATAAGGGTTAAGTTAACACTTTGTTACTTGATGATTTCTTCTTCTAATTTCTAACAGGTCGAGGGTTATCGGTATACCCGTATTTCGAAGCCCCGGCAAGTGCCTATGACTCCATCATGGTGCTAAAGGGCACATGGTCGATTGATATAGGTTCCCCGATAAACTACCATCGACCTTGGTTAGGCCTAGGCTCTCACGGCCCTTGAAGATCAATTCTCTTATGAAGTTTTTATGTCGGACACCTTAATTCAGGGTCGTCTTTTCAGTCGTATGGGTGCTACTGGTTCCCTGGACCAGCCCTTCTTTCCTTCCTCCTTTTAATAATTGCATTGATTTCGCATAATGGATTCACTGGCGCGTCTACAAGGACATATAAATGAAGAAATAAATAAACAGGACACTAAACAGCTGAAGCCATCAAAAGGAGTGAGGAGATGTCCGAGCAATGCTCTCTTCCTGATATCATATGTAAGCGGCGTTCTGGACGAAACATTACATATGCATGGAAAGTCCAGACAGGAACGCATAATTCTGGTGCGCTCAATAAAGGCAAATTTGAGAAGCAGTGGTCTATTACGATCACTTGACAATGCTTCTTATTCTCTGTTCACACTATGCAATATTAACCATGTAAGGTGCTGAAAGCTACAATGCCCTGGGAGCACGACCTCACATAGTGAATGTTGACTGCATATTTATTCTAGATGTCCTTTGTTGCATGGAACAACTGCTAATACTCATCAACGATCTTAACGTAATGGCAATACTATTAATGAATTATTCGAAGCCATTTGACCATAAACTTCTCCAATCGCAATCCTTCCAAATTTCCGCTCTTCGTTTTTGTGTCTTTTGGGCGTGTCTCATTAGCTAATCCTTCCAACTCCAAAAATACGCCTAGTGTTACGACGTTGTTCATTTGTGTGGTGCGGCCATGCACTCAGAACTGACTCGTGGATTCGTTGAAGGCGAAGAATTAGCCCCCCAGAATCAAGTGAGCGTCATGTGCCTGCTCACCACGCAAAACACTATGTCTCAACCCTTTAAATGTTCAGGAGCTTTGCCTAGATTGAATTGCGAGAGTCAACATGCCCTCCAAGGAGGCGGTAGGAAATAGATAGATTAAGATTCTTGTATGACGTCTGGTGTGTAAACTTACGATGGCTATAAAACCTATGAGCAAATAAAAAGAAGGGAGAGGCTTTGCAAGCCTTAAGTCCGCGTGCTCCGTGGAGTTGATGCACTCTGATATCATGGGTGTGTAGTAGATCTGCAGTCAGCGGTACAAAATATAACGTGTTGAGATCGTTCGAGCTAGATTTGAGAGATTTGCTTAATTCCACCCCTGTAGAAATCCCGTAACGAGTACCGATGGGAAGATTCGGATAACGAAATGGAAAGGTCTGAAGCCGAGAACATGCTCTGCTGGAATTACGAGTAAAATTCGAGTTATCCAATGGAAAGTTGTTTTTGATTTTTATCTGCTGTTTTTGGCCGCAGTTCGCTTTAGGAAAGTCATCAGGCATGCTGAGTTTGATGAAGTGGTGGATCGGTAGCGTAAATGTAGCGCACTTGCCCGATAAGTAAGAGGTGCAGGTCGAGTCCAGCCTGGGGAAAGTTTTGTTCACAACCCAGAATTTTTGTGAACGAATAGATAGCTTCTTTCATAGACATAACTACAATAAAGGCTGGAAGGAGTTTTTTAACACAGCCCAATTTTGAAACTTACTTTTTTTTCGATACTCATTGAAAGATCCTCTACACCAGGTGGTAGTTTGATGCTCAACACGTTTAAGATCTCTGAGTAAATAAAGAATAAGGAAAAATATTTCGAAACAGGACTTTGGGGTTAGTCAGAAATTCCCTCCCAACCTTTAAGCTCCTCATTATAGTTTGTAGTAAGCCGTTCAACTTTGTATTCTTATCAACTTCACCGCTCTCACTTGACATTGCCGTCATGCTCCTTCCGCCAGCGATATATCTCATTTCTTCATTTATAGATGTGGTCCACTTACGACTACTTGTTTTCGTCGATTTTTTGGTGTACTGGATTTGTCGGAATCGTAGTCAACGTCCTATCTTCTCTACCTGATATTCTTCCACGCACCCGAAACGCTTCGGGTCTATCGGGTATTCCTCGCCAATGCCGCTCTTGCTGATCTCATTCTTTCCATCGCAATGACGTTTTCTCAAATACGGTAAGACATCGCTTGGTATATGATTTTTCCAGAACCTGAAAAATATCAGACATTCTCCGATTCAGACTGTTTGTATGGCTTCCCCATAGTTCTTCATAATTCAAGTGTACTAATTTCCATTACGATGCCCCACGCAGTTTCACTAATTCCAGCTTCCTCGCGATTCCTCCCATGTCATAAGACCACTAATTTCGCTTCTCAGTAAGATAATATTAACTTTTCCCGACGTTTCTATAATCCTATCTAAAGGATTAATTGTACATTATGCAACTCATGGAAATGGTGTGGAAATGAAACCGTAAGCG